GCAACTTACCCAGGTCATTGAACAATGACAGTGATGTCTCATCACATTGCTCAATGGCCTCATCTTATCTTAACTTTTAACACAAAAATTGGCGCACAACAGTACGATTACATTTAAATATGTATATGTTATAAATATGTATATGTATAGTATATGCTGTTATATTATATCCTCTTATATGTTGCTACAGGTAATACCGTAAGCGCGCGAAGCGCACCGGGCTGTCTTACATGCAGAAGACAACCCGATGCTTGCTTATTCGCTGATCTTTATTATATTGTCTATATCTTTGTTAGTAAGATCTTGGTAACTATATTGTGAATCTAGCAAAATGATATAGAACTTTTTGACTCAGTTTTACTCTTTTTATTTGTTCACGAGAGATGTGATCCACCAATTCTGGGACACCCTGTATGTTAGTTGTCTGAATCTAAAGTACCTGAAATACATGATATTGTCTGTTTTCAACTTTGAGCGCTTGTAGGCCAAAAATGACTCATAGGATTGTGGCAATTATAACTTTTGATCAGCATTGCATCAAGTATTATTTCCTAAACGTTTAGCTCAGTTGAGTAAAACCCAAGTTTCATAAGAAAAATGCGGGGTCCTTTATTTAATCGCTAAACGTTTCGATTACAAGTTTGAATCTTCTTCAGTAGCAACTACATGTGTTTAGACAAATAAAAAGAGAGATAAAGTCTTTGCAATACCATTAAATAAGTAAGAAACTAATAAAATCTCATCAAAAATTTCTTAAAGAAACAGATTGTAAATCAGCATAATAAAAAAAATAGAGAGGTATTCCGATCAATGTTAATCGAAGAGAAAAGATCCATTATCGTTAAATGTTTACAATAAAAACTGATTTCAAACTGATGTACAACTTTTACAAGTGTATATGGATAATTCTCAAAAAATGTAATCTCTGTGGTATGCATGTTCTAAATAAAAAAAATAAATAAGTATATCTTATAGTTTGTAAATATTTAGAAATGTAAAAATGAGTTGCATAAATAATGGAAAATGTTCACCAACAGTTTTTTTCACACAATATTTCAGCAGATACTTTCGTATACAGAGATTATTTTCGTGTGTTAAGTAATCTGTGTGGTTTGCAGTTTACTTAAAAAAATAAATATTTATTCTATAAAAGTAATAATATTACAAATCATGTCTATGCGTATGGAATAAATAGAAAAATTGTTACAATACTTAACAATGAAGAACAACTTAAAACATACTTATCACACAAGAATATACATATATAATATATAAATAATATAATATAATATAAATATAATATAAATATAATATAAATCATTATAATATACAACATTATATAATATAAAACATTATCTAAAGAATTTATACAATATTACTGAATAAAAAGAGGTTAAAGAACAAACACAAAAACTATTTATAAAAAAAATATATCAAGGAAGCATATTTTAAAAATATATCACAATAGTTATGAAATATTACGTATGTATGTGTACTTTTACATTTTGTAATATTTTATATATTTTATATATATTTTTTTTTATATATTTAGAATATATAGTTAAATATATATAAAATATATATTAGTAATTATTGAAAAAATTTACATATACATACACATATACATATATATGCATACACATATACATACAGTGCGGAGCACCATATCGTGCGCCGTGAGGAGAAGTAGTTCTCCTCTGGCCGCCTCCTCCTATCACGCGCTAGCGGCCCGAGATTTACTCCATATATCGGAACGGTATCTTATCCTTCCTCATTAGTGTGAATTATATAACACTTTATGTAAAACTTGTAAAGGGAATGGAATGAGATATTTAAAAAAGAATTAACATTAACAAAAGAAATACTTATCATTTATTTTCTATTATTTTCACCAGAAGATAGAAAAGTAATACTAGCAAACAATAAAAGCTATAGTAATGAAAGACAAGTAACATAATAAACTAACCTTTATATGTTTTGGAAATTGAAACAAAGTTTCTTTCAAACGAATAAATGAATATATAAATAGTCGTGAAGAGCCGTTCGCTGGATGTTATGCGGAAAATATGTTTATATATATATGTGCGTGTACACACATATAAACGAATTCACGTTTTCACGTGTTTTTGAATTGAAATTTCAATTCATAAAATCATACAGGATGCTATACTTGCATCTCATGTATGAAAGACCCCGTATATCCTCCAAACTAATTTTAAAATATTGCGAAAAAAACGCACATATATATATAGACATATTTTCCGCATAACATCCAGCGAACGGCTCTTCACGACTATTTATCTATTCATTTATTCGTTTAAAAGACGTCAGAGTCCAAGATTAATTCTCAGTCAATCGTTAATTACAAAGTTTCTTTCCTCGTTTATTATTAGTTGCAGTTGGGCAGCCTTGGACACAACATCGATATCTACTTTTTTCACTCATATTGTATTCTTTACTATGTTTTAAGTAATATATATAAGTTTAGCAGCGTGCAGTGGTTTTACTGTATCTTGCCTATACTGTGATCTCTATGTATCAATATAAAGGTCAAACGAGAATAAATATACATATATAAATGTGAAATGTGTAAATACGTCTAGATAAAGCGTTTTCGACATGTAAATGCATTATAAAACAATGTATCGTAAAAAATATATGATGGTTGAATTCAGAAAAATATTCTTTTTTTTATTATGACAGAAATATGAACAACAAATTGTTGTCGCAACAAATATTTTTAAACAACAAAAAATAATTTATTGTTCAATAAACAAAAATTTTGTTTTATTTCTTTTTATGTCACTTTGTAGCAATTAACTTGCTGTAAAACTTTTGTCTTAGACATTTTTCTGTATTTATTCTTATACTTTAAGAGAAGTACGCAAAAAAGTGTAAGCACCCTTTTACATTTAAAGTCAAAAATCATATTCTTAAAATGAAAACGGGCACGAATTGTGCATACCGTCATATATTGTGAGGCCCTCTACATACTCACAAAACTTTATTGAAATCCAAGTCTCCGGGTTTGCTACCTTCCTTTGTTAGTCTTGAAGGCCTGCTGCGGCTAAAGCTGACAGCCTGGCCAAATCCTCGGCACTCGATTTACTCGCGAGGTTGCTGCGGCACTCCCGGAGGCTTCCCATGAAATCAGCAGCTTTTTCTACCTTTAGCCTTGAGAGTTTCGTCTTATATATCTTTTTGAGTAAGCGAGTACTCACCGAGTTTTTTCCAATCGGGAAACTCAGTTGAGCCTCGCTGGTTCTTATTTGTTAATTAGTTAGTCGTGCACCGAAAAAATTATATTCTTGTAAGTAGAAGATTTTATACTTAAAAAATCTTCTTAAAGATTTTATACTTAAAAAATCTTCTTAAAGATTTTAGATGATATTCTTCTGAAATTAAGAATATATTCTTAAATAAAGAATATATTCTTAATTCTTAAATAAAGAATATTCTTAATTTAAGAATATAGTCTTTTTCGATAGTGAGATATATATGTTTTTTTATAGAGGCTTTTTATATTCTAATCAGTATATATTCTTATCAATATTACTATTTAGAGGATTTTCCTCTTAAAATAAGAAACTCTTCTTGGCGCCTATTTTAGTATAAAATATACTTAAAGTAAGTGGGATATCCTCAAAACAAGAATACAACTTTTTGTGTAAACTTGTGAAACCTCCAATCGGCGGCGATCTCCCCACTTTGGACAGTTCGTCCGATTTTTAGAGAAGGGAAAAGAGAGAGAGTTTGTTTTTTCGAAACACTTAGACTCTTGGATGTTTACCGAGTGATAAATAAAAAATTTCGAGTTATTGCCCTTGGTGGTAAATTCTGTTTGCACCGCTCTAATTTTTATGAGCTTTATTTTTCTCACCCCGGGTTTGTTTGGAAAGTTGATCGGAGATATTTCAAGAATACATTTTTCTCGCTAGCTATCGTTTTTAAAATGGAAGTTTTTAAGATTATTATTAGGCGCGATTTATTTTTTCGGGCGCCGACACGATTTCTATTTGCGCTCTTATCGTTTCAAAATCCAAGTCCCAAACTCCGTTCGAGTTATTTATTGCTTCTAACTATTTCCTTAAAAAAGTGAGAATTTATTATATGTCAGCGCGTCGCGTTGCGAGAAAAAGGGGACCGTGGAGTCTCCAAGACGTAACACATGGACTATTTATTTTGAAAGTGGTGTAAGTCCATTTTTGAAAAAAAATGAGATATCACGTAATTCATGCTTAATTTAATGTAAATTTTTTATGTATAACTAGTTTACGAAACAAAAGAAAATGGACTTACACCACTTTCAAAATAAACGGTCATATTTCTTCAAAAACTTTTTGTATGTATTTTTTTGTATATATCTTTCTGTCTCGGATGTTTTTTTATTCTATTATATTTTTGTTTTGTATTCAGTGCTGAAAATGATCGCAAATAAACTTTGATCAAAACGTCCGGAATACACCGTGGTTTAAGTTGTTTTCGATTTTTTATTTTCAACTTGGACCATAGGCTTTTTGGTTATTTTTCTTTTAATCCGTTTTTTATTGTTTGAATGTTTCCTTCCGGAAATAAGAAGATTGATAAAATTCCACTTGCCAAGTCCTGGCACATGTAACTGTTATTCTATATGCTCAGCATTTGTACATATATCTAATATCTACTTTTTGCTTTTAAATAGTTTGTTTTTCCGATTTACTCTTTTTCTTCCTTGTCGATGCGCACAATATAGTTTTGTGTGCAGGTCGATTTCTTGCATCATATATTTTGTCAAATTAATCTCCTGCTCTCCATCTAAAATCCTTCTTTTTTCTTCACTGTGCTTTAGTTTTTAAACATGGATTTATTTTTAATGTATTTGTTATATTGCTTTGCATAAAAAAGAAAACTGTGAAGTCTCAGGATGTAATACTTTGACCATATTTTTTTACTTTGTCTTATGTTATACTTTATATTAACTTGTACGTACTTGTAAATACATAAACAATCTTTTGTTACAGAGGTTGCTTTATTAAACCTACGAGAGAGCGGCTTATAGCTCAGTTATAGATCTGGAATTAGTAACCGGAAGATTCTAGGTTTCGAATTCGGCTTGAACACAATCGGATTTTTACGCATTTTTTCGGTGAGCTGGCAACTTATTAAAATTATTCTTTCTCCTGCAATATACAATTTTTTTTTAAATCTGTTGAGTATATTTGAAAGATGCAGAACTAACGATAAATATGATATTTGGTTCTTTTCATCTGATTAATGTAAAATTTGTTCCAGTTAAATCGATCACACTACGATGATTGAAGTACTATTGTTTATTATTTTTCTTATATCAATATATCATTTTTATTTACACTATGGCAAAACAGGAAGATTGATTAATTTAATTCCTGGACCACGCACCATACCAATATTGGGAAATTCCCTTTTGTTCAACGTTCCATTAGGTAAGAAAAAAAGAAGATTTAATTTAATCAAATTGCCTTTCAACTTCTCAATGTTTTTATAAAGAGCAATAATATATTTCTAAGTTCTTTTTATCTTAACCTGTCTACTTTGTAAACAGTATACATAAATATACGTGTAATCTGATTACATACTTAATGCAGACTTTTTTCGATAATCTATTAAGAATGTTTTGATATTTTTCCTGAAATAAATATTAGTTGTCATAAACTAAATATAATTATTATACAATTCTTATATTTTTGTAATTAGTTTGCAACTAGTTTGGAAATGATTCCACATATAATACACTTTCTTTTTGAAATCTGATAAAAGTATACACTTATTTACAGTTTTAATACACTTATTTACATTTTTCAGATAAACTATGGCAAGTAATATGTAAATTACAGAATCAATATTATCCAATCGTAAGAGTATGGATATTTCATATGCCATGGATAATAATCTGTCATCCAGATGACATAAAGGTGATATATAAATATAATTTATTTATGATTTTTTTTAGTTTTTCTAATTAATGATAATTCAATACTATATACATGTATATAAATCAACAATTAAGAAGTATCAATTCTGAGAAATATCTATTGTGACGTGACACGTTCCATCACAAGGATAAATTTCCGGTCGGCACAGGAGGCGGTGAGCTCGCGTTTCCCACTATTTTAGAAAGAACAGCTTGTCTAATTGTCTAATTGTTTGTAGCGAACGTAAATGCGCTCGATAGTCTTTTGCGTGGCTGCGCATTGCGTCATCTAATGTTAATTCTCGTTATAATTACCCTGATAGCCACCTGTCTGTGTTTTTGCTGTCATGTTGCCGAAAACAAAACGCTTGAGTTTTCAGCAAATTTAGAACAAGGTGAGTCAGGCATTTGTCTTTGGTTTGACATGACACGTATTTAACATGTGTTGCCGACAACTTG